TGGATTATCAGTGTCATTTTCTTCTCTTTTTTCTTCTTCCTACTGGCTACCTTCAGGATTGCAAGTCCCACAGGATTGCAAGTTAGGAGATGGGGAAAAAGATGGGAATTAAAACTTGTGTTTTTCAGTGTGCTATTTCTTGGTGAAATGCTACGTAAGAGGTTGGGAATTTCTCTACTAAGTCCTTTAGAGACTAAACAAGTATCTAGGTGTTCATTTAACTTAGACTTTTTTTAAGTAAGGGATTTGAGGTGGTTTGAAAGATGATATACAATAAAAAAGAAAAATGTGTGTGTAAGTTTGTGCATTTATAAATAATACAAATTAGAATAGGAAGTTAAGAAAGAAATGGATGCACACCTCCAAGCATAAAAAGCTTGGGCTTTGGTTAACTCCTGCTTTGGGGGCGGGCCCAGTGGGTGGGCTTTCCTTGGGGGCGGGAAATAAAGACCCTGCTGTAGGGCACAGAACTCATTGATAATTCTCACAGATTTATCTCTGTTCAACTGACAGTTCTTGTGTTTTTTTTTAAATTTTTACTTGCATGTAATGAATTCAAAAGTTGGAGCACAATTCAGAGTTAAATGGGTCGGCTTGGAACTTGCCTTTACTGTGACCACATGGTTTAGCTAGACTCTCCTCCCCACACCCCCCCCTTTTTTTTTTTTGCGTTTTTTTCCAGAAAAGGCTACTGGTCTGAGCATTCAGGGCCCCACCATCACCCCACAGTGAGACTGGGGACTCTCAGAGGTTGGTGACAAGTCTCTCAAGATAGAGGGCCTTCAGAGCTACGTCTGAGTGGTGGCCTCTTCCTGATCCTTCCCCCTCAGGGCTTTAGGCCCTGGTTCACCCAGGCCTCCGCTAAGCTCCTGCACTTTCTTGCCAGAGGTGTCTTAAAGGGAAAAACCTCCCTTTTGTTGCTCCTGTGCCTTCTTTCTTTCTTCCCCCTCCTCATTCCCCTCTTCCTCCCCCTTCTCATTCACTCATCCAGCCCTCCGGCAGCTGAACATTTAAGAGCTTTTTATGAGCACATTTGTTGTCTTCTGAGTAGAAAGAGGAATAAGAAGTGGTTTGTACCCTCGAGGAGCTCACCATGGGAGAGAAGATGCCTGAAGACAAGTGATAATGCTTCTGTGATGGGGGTTGTAGAGGCAGGAACAGGATGCTTTGGTAACTGGAAGAGGAAGTGACTGATCAGCCTCGGAAAGGATTTCATAGAGAAGTTATCTTGAACTGGGTTTTGAAAAATGAGCAGGAGGCCAGGCGCAGTGGCTCATGCCTGTGATCCCAGCACTTTGGGAGGCCGAGGTGGGCAGATCACTTGAGGTCAGGAGTTCAGGACCAGCTTGGCCAACATGCAAAAACGTGTCTCTACTAAAAATACAAAAATTAGCGGGGCATGGTGATGCTTGCCTGTAATCCCAGCTACTCGGAAGGCTGAGGCAGGAGAATCGCTTGAACCCGGGAGGCGGAGGTTGCAGTGAGCCAAGATTGAGACTCCGTCTCGAAAAAGAAAAAAGAAAAGAAAAATGAGCAGGAGATGGCCAGGGGGAGAAGGGGTGGCAGAGTGTAATCGAGGACACTCTGGACAGAGGAAGCCGCCTATTCAAAGGCATGGCGTCATGAAGGGATGAAGACCTCGTGTGGTGCAGTCTGAAGGATGGCCAGGTGGTGCGGAGGCAAAGGAGATGAATTTGGAGGGATGAACTGCACTTCAGCGACTGAGGAACCGTTAGGCTATGGGTGCTACTGGCTGGGCCAGAAGTCACAGGAGGCCTTTGAACAGGGAAGGCGTGGCTTTCAGATGCCCCCTCTGGCAGCAGTGAGCAGCTGTGGGGGTGAACTGTGGAAGGAGCCCATCCAGGGGGCTGTAGAGTTTGGGTAAGAGATAAAGTAAGCTTAAACTGAACCAGTGACGCTGGTGATGGAGAGAAGGGGTGAACATGTGACCGGTAAGGTGGGGAAAGGGGTAGGGCCTGGGAGGGAGTTTAGGAGCCTGGGAAGGGGCTGCTGTCAGAAATGAGATAGGCTAGAGAACAAATACACAGAGGCCGGTCCCCTTCCAGAGAGTTCATTTTTCTTTCATCCATTATTTTTCACTCCTCTGCTTTAAAACAAATCTTAAAATCTGTCTACCTCAGAGATATTGTCTGCTTAGCCCATAGTGTTCTGATATCCCAGTCTTTCCTTTGTAGATGTTACCCCTTCATTCATTCCATTAATAAATGCCTATTGAGCACCCACATGTACCAGGCACTGGACTTGGAGCTGGATGCGCAGTGGTGAAAAGGATGAACAAGGTTTATGCCCTTACTGAAGCTTCTAGTCCGGAGGAGTAGACAGATAGTAAAACGTAATATTAAATAACCTAGCATTAAGTAGAGTTCATGGGGGCATATATGGTATGAGATGAAGCTTGATGGTTTGAGAAGGACCAGATCTGTTGATCCTTGTAGACCGTGGTCAGGGAACTGAATATTATCCTGGGAGCTATGGACAAAAAGCCAATATGGCTTGGAGTAACAGAAAGCAGAAAGCCTCCTAGGATTCTGGGATGTCTCTGCTTGAACAACTAGGTTGATGGTGTCATCTATTGAGCTATTGCTGTGTATTTTTCAAATGCATGGTGTATGTTTCATGCATGTTATTTCTACCAGCACCACAAATGACAAATTTGGAAATATATGAGGTATTGTATCAACTCAACTGTGTGTATCACGTGCAGGTAGGGATTTCAATCAGATGACATGTCACATATAAATGTGGACTTTCTCTCGTGACTTGGGTTATTTGTGAAAGTTATGTATGTGGGGCAGAAGAACCTTGAACTGTCTAAACTTTTGCTAATGAGGTGAGAATAAGGCCTGAGAAGGAGAAAAAATTGAGATTGAAACAAGAAAATAAAAGCTCCTAAGGAAACTATAGTCCTTTCTGCTGGCAGTGTCCCTTGCCAGAGGTTAGATGTGGGGAGCATGAGGATGACTATGGACTGAGATGACCCATCTTTGATGCCTTAGGGGCCAGGGAAAAGGAACTGTTGGTGTGCAGTGACTGGAATGGGTATTTCATGGTTTCCTATGGTGTCCGTCTGCCTGGGAGTCAGGCATCTGTAGTCTTCGGTCTCCATTGAAGAGAGTTTTGAGGCATCCTCTGAATTAATGTAAACCAGTAGTGCTCCAGTGCCTGGGCTGTCTCAGGAGAAGAGGTAGAAACGGGGTCAGATGATGAGACTTTTCCATTTTATGACAGCAATGGAATTCCTAGAATGGTTCATTAGTCTTCACAAAAGATCGATTCCTGGCTGGGCGCAGTGGCTCACCCCTGTGATCCCAGAGGTTTGGGAGGCTGAGGTGGTTGGATCACTTGAGGCCAGAAGTTCGAGACCAGCCTGGTCAACATGGTGAAACCTTGTCTCTACTAAAATACAAAAATTAGCCAGGCGTGGTGGCACGTGCCTGTAATTCCAGCTACTTGGGAGGCTGAGGCACTAGAATTGCTTGAATGGGGGAGGCAGAGGTTGCAGTGAGCCAAGATCCTGTCACTGCACTCCAGCCTGGATGACAAAGGGAGACTCTGTCTCCAAAAAAAAAAAAAAAAAAAAAAAAAAAAAGAGAAGAAGAAAAAGTCAATTCCTTAGCGTAGAAGACTATATTGTTATATTGTGCAGATCTGTGGAGTTAAGTGGAATACTCAAGTAGTTTGTTTCACCTCCAGTGTTTGGGATATCTGAAACTTTCAGGGAAGAATTTACAGAATCATTGTATAATTGAATTGATTGCAAAAGACTTGTACACATTTATTTGAAGCATTTTTTTTTTAACATTTTCTGTGTTTTCAGGGTAGTCAGTTATATTTTAATGTATCTTTTTGTTGCTGTTGTTATAAAGAAAAACTAATCACGTCATCTTAAGAACTGTTTTTAGAAGTTTATATACTATGGCTATAATGATGCTTTATGTTTACATGATGCTTTACAGTATTAGATAAGTAATAAAAACAGTGCTACATGGTTCCATTTGCTACACACAACCCCCCCACCCCCAGAGGTGAGCAGTGCTTGTCACCCGCTTTTCACAGATGAGGAAATGGGGAAGTGGAGGAAGGAGTGGCTGCCCCTAGGCACTTCACTAGGAAGAGATGTGGGACTTGAATCCCTGTCATTTGACTCTAAAGTGATGGCAGCAATGCCATTCACACATCTCATCTCATTGAATCCTCACAACTACTAGGCAAGTATCATCACCTCTACTTTATTGAATGAGAAAAATGTGCTCTGGGAGGTTAAGTAACTAACCTAGGCTGATAGGTGATGGGGCTGAACTGGCTCTTAACCAGTAGCTTGCCTGCAGTGTCCCACAAGGAAGGAGCACACTGCATATTAAAATTATTAGATAACAACATTCATTTTATGATTTACTAAACTCTTCTCTTCTTGACTCTTTGACAAAGGTAAAGTAGATGCTTTCCTGAATTTCATTTTATTTTATTTTATTTTTACAAAATAAGACAAATTTGTGAGATCTTAATACTTGCCTCTTGGGAGAGAATGAGAGTAAAGATCTCAAATATTCCTTGGCCACATCATTACCTGATGCTATTTATAAAAGCATAGAACAATCAGACAAGAATACCTATAAAATTAAAAAAAAAAAAAAAAAGAAAGATAAACAGAACAAAAAGTTTCTAATCTGCAGAACTGACGTGGCTATCAGGGGGCCAGCTGAAGATCTTAGGACTGTTAAACCTAGATGATGATTTGTTTAACCCTGGGTTTGGGGTATACCAATTGCTTACAAAGATTAATATTTCATTCTTTTCAACCAAATTAGGCTTTCTTTGTTTTCATTTGTTGCTACTTGTGCTGGTGGGAGAGGCATAGGGGGAGCTTCGCTTAGCTACTGATGTAAGAAAATTTATGAGATGAATTGTACTCTGCTGCTTCTTGTGGTTATATTTTTTCAGTTTAAAAAAAAAATGGCACAAGCATGCTTTTATCCTAGGTGACTGCTACGTTGAGAAACTTGGTTGATTCACCATTAGTAAGAACTAAGTTCCTAAGCATCAGTGCCCTTCCCCAGCTCTGTACGGCGGTGGAACAGTACATGGGTGACAAGGACGTCTGTACCAATATTGCCAGAATATTCAGGTGGGTAGACTAAGATGTGAAGTAGCCTTACAAAAATGCTAATGCTTAGATTTTGGGTTATCTTTAATATTTGCTTGTGTGACTGGCAAGAAATCCTTTTTCTTCTTTTTACTTCACCTACCAGAAAGGGTAAATCTAGTGGTCCAAGTTAAAAATGAACAATTCAAACAAATGACTCCATTGTCTATATGATTCTGTGGTGATTCTAAAGTCGTTGGTTGTTAAGTCATTTTAGTTCTTTGGTGAGTGGTGAGCTCCGTGTGTGTGTTTAATCTTCCTCTCAGTTTATTTGAGATTTAAAAAACTGTATATAAAACAAAGCAAATGTTCCAGTTTGCTAGGAAATAAACAAGAGTTTTAACTCAGAGAAGGGGATCAATGCTTAGAAAGTCTGATCTGACTGTGTAATAGAAGATTATTCTATTTCAGCTATTTGAACTTTGGCTCAGGCTTTCACTGGTCATGTCTACACTTACTTTATTTCTTCCAGAAATAATGATCATTGAATCCAGGTTGCCTCAAAGCAAGATGTTGTTAAATTTCAGAGCTGTCTTTAAATTATGCATTTCTGTTTCCTCCTGCTGCTCTTTGTCAGTATTTTTACATAATGATTCTTCTCGGGAGCCTGGGGCTTTTTTCTTGAACTATAACGTTGTAGTTGTAAAGAAAAGCAAACTTTCCTGAAGACTGAATTGGTACTTGACCCCAGGACCCCTGTATGAGGATGTGAGTCCAAATCTGATTTTTTTTAAACGAATATCAACTTGAATTGTAGATTAAATGGTACACAGGTTTGTTATGTGGGTAAATTGTATGACGTGGAGGATTGGGGTCTCAACAATCATGTTACCCGGGCAGTAAGCATAGTACCCAACAGGTGGTACTTCAGCCCCAGCCCCCTCCTTCCCTCCAGATCTAATCTTTTTCTACTGCACTTCCCTGAGCTTTGTTCTGGATACCCTGCCTGGCCTTCAAATTTCTCACTTTTTTTCTCCCTTAAGATCCAAACTCTTGGTCAGGCACAGTGGCTCATACCTGTAATTCCAGAACTTTGGGAGGCCAAGGTGGGGGATCACTTGAGTCCAATAATCTGAGACCAGCCTGGGCAACATGGTGAAACCCCATCTCTAGTGGCCCCCCCAACCCCTGCCAAAAAATTAGCCAGGCATGATGGTGTGTGACTGTAGTCCCAGCCACTTGAGAGGCTGAGGTGGGAGGATTGAGAGGATTGAGAGGCTGAGGTGGAAGGTGGATGTTGCAGTAAGCCAAGATAGAGCCACTTGCACTCCAGCCTGGGCAACAGAGCAAAACCCTATCTAAAAAAAAAAAAAAAAAGAAAAGAAAAAAAGAAAAAGACAAAAGAAAAAAGAACCCAAACTCTTCTTATTCTTTTCCCTTCCTTATGAACTTATTATTTTGTGTTGATATCTCTTTAAAAATATTTACTTATTTATTTATGTATTTTATCTGTCTGCTACAGGAAGGATATCCAAGAATCTTGATGAACATTAAGACTAGGAGTTTGTCTATAGATGCTCTTGAATTTTCTATGCAAATTATCTGCATATAAATTTTTTTCAATTATTGTAACTCTTTCCCCATCCTCATCTCTTCTTTAGTGCATCGTTTAGGAGTTCAATACAACATTGTGAGTGTTGGGCCTGTTGTCTTTCTTCTGACTTTAAAGGAAATATTTTCATGGTTTTGCTAGTTGAAAATAATATTTGTTGTAAGTTTTCATAACTACCCTTTAGAAGATTAATGATTTTTTTCTTATTAATGGGTATTAAGTTTTGTCAAATGCTTGCCCTGAATCTTTTTTTTTTTTTTAACTTTTATTTTAGGTTCAGGAGTACATGTGAAGGTTTGTTACATATGTAAACTCATGTCACAGGGGTTTGTGGTACAGATTATTTCATCACCCAGGGATTAAGCCCAGTATCCAATAGTTAAAAGAGTTATCTTTTCTGCTTCACTCCCTCCTCACACCCTCCCCCCTCAAGTAGATCCCAACATCTGTTGTTTTCTTCTTTGTGTTGTTAAGTTCTCATCATTTAGCTCCCACTTATAAATGAGAATATGTGGGATTTGCTTTTCTTTTCCTGCACTAGTTTGCTGAGCTAATAGCCTCCAGGTCCATCCATGTTCATGCACAAGACATGATCTCATTCTTTTTTATAGCTGTATAGTATTCCATGGTGTATAGGTACCACATTTTCTTTATCCAATCTGTCAATGATGGGCATTTAGGTTGATTTCGTGTCTTCGCTATTGTGAATAGTGCTGCAGTGAACATTAGTGTGCATGTATCTTTATGGTAGAATGATTTGTTTTCCTCTGGGTATATACCCAGTAATAGGATTGCTGGGTTAAATGGTAGTTCTGCTTTTAGCTAATTGAGGAATCACCGTACTGCTTTACACAATGATCGAACTAATTTATACTCCTACCAACAGTGTATGAGTGTTCTCTTTTTTCTGCAACCTTACCAGCAACTGTTATTTTTTGACTTTTTAATAATAACCATTCTGACTGGTATGGGATGGTATCTCGTTGTAGTTTTGATTTGTATTTCTCTAATGATCTGTGATGTTGAACTTGTTTTCTTTTTTTTTCTTTTTTTTTTTTTTGAGACGGAGTCTCGCTCTGTCGCCCAGGCTAGGGTGCAGTGGCCGGATCTCAGCTCACTGCAAGCTCCGCCTCCCGGGTTCACGCCATTCTCCTGCCTCAGCCTCCCAAGTAGGTAGCTGGGACTACAGGCGCCCGCCACCTCGCCCGGCTAGTTTTTTGCACTTTTTAGTAGAGACGGGGTTTCACCGTGTTAGCCAGGATGGTCTCGATCTCCTGACCTTGTGATCCGCCCGTCTCGGCCTCCAAAAGTGCTGGGATTACAGGCTTGAGCCACCGCGCCCGGCCGATATTGAACTTTTTTTCATATGCTTGTTGGCCACATGTGTGTCTTCTTTTGAAAAGTGTTTGTTCATGTCCTTTGCCCACTTTTTTTTTTTTTTTTTGGAGACAGAGTTTTGTTCTTGTTGCCCAGGCTGGAGTGCAATGGGGTGATCTCAGCTCACTGTAACCTCTGCCTCCCAGGTTCAAGTGATTCTCCTGCCTCAGCCTCCCAAGTAGCTGGGATTACAGGCACGCACCACCACACCCAGCTGATTTTTTGTATTTTTAGTAGAGATAGGGTTTCTCCACGTTGCTCAGGCTGGTCTCGAATGCCTGACCTCAGGTGATCCACCCACCTCAGCCTCTCAAAGTGCTGGGATTACAGGCATGAGCCACTGCACCCGGCACTTTGCCCACTTTTTGGTGGGGTTGTTTTCTCTTGTAAATTTGTTTAAGTTCCTTATATGTCCTGGATATTAAACCTTTGACAGATGCATAGTTTGCAAATATTTCCTCCAATTCTGTAGGTTGTCTGTTTACTACGTTGATAATTTCTTTTGCTGTGAAGAAGCTCTTAAATTTAATTAGATGCCATTTGTCAATTTTTGCTTTTGTTGCATTTGCTTTTAGTGTCTTTGTCATGAAATCTTTGCTCGTTTCTATGTCCAGGATAGTATTGCCTAGGTTATCTTCCAGGGTCTTTATAGTTTTGGGTTTTACATTTAGTCTTTTTTTTTTTTTTCTTTTGGAGACAGAGTCTAGCTCAGTTGCCCAGGCTGGAGTGCAGTGGCGCTATCTTGGCTCACTGCAAGCTCCGCCTCCCGGGTTCACACCATTCTCCTGCCTCAGCCTCCCGAGTAGCTGGGACTACAGGTGCCTTCCACTACACCCAGCTAATTTTTTTGGTATTTTTAATAGAGACGGGGTGTCACGTGTTTGCCAGGATGGTCTCGATCTCCTGACCTCGTGATCCACCCATCTCAGCCTCCCAAAGTGTTGGGATTACAGGCGTGAGCCACCACGCCTGGCTACATTTAGTCTTTGATCCATCCTGAGTTGATTTTTGTATATAGTGAAAGGAAGGGGTCTGGCTTCAGTCTTCTGCATATGACTAGCCTATTACCCCATGATTATTTATTAAATAGGGAGCCTTTTCTCCATTGCTTGTTTTTGTCAGCTTTGTTGAAGATCATGTGGTTGTAGGTGTGCAGCCTTATTTCTGGGCTCTCTGTTCTGTTCCCTTGGTCCATGTGCCTGTTTTTGTACCAGTACCATGCCGTTTTGGTTACCATAGCCCTGTAGTATAGTTTGAATTAGGCAATGTGATGCTTCTAGCTTTGTTCATTTTCCATAGGATTCCTTGGCTTTTTGGGCTCTTTTTCAGTTCCATGTAAGTTTTAAAATAGTTTTGTTTTTTTTTTTCTAGTTCTGTGAAGAGTGTCATTGGTAGTTTGATAGGAACAGCATTGAATCTGTAAATTGCTTTGGGCAGTATGGCCATTTTAATGGTACGAATTCTTCCTATCCATAAGCGTGGGACATTTTCCCATTTGTTTTTGTCTTCTCTGATTTCTTTGAGTAGTGTTTTGTAATTCTCATTGTCGAGATCTTTCACCTCCCTGGTTAGCTGTGTTCTCAGGTATATTATTCTTTTTGTGGCGATTGTGAATGGAATGGCCTTTCTGATTTGGCTGTCTGCTTGGCTGTTGTTGATGTATAGGAATGCTAGTGATTTTTGTACATTGATTTTGTATCCTGAAACTGCAGAAGTTGTTTATCAGCTGAAGGAGGTTTTGGGCTGAGACTATGGCGTTTTCTAGAAGTAGAATCATCTGTAAGTGTTGGGCCTATTGTCTTTCTTCTGACTCTAAAGGAAATATTTTCATGGTTACACCAGCTGAAAATAACATTTGTTGTAGGTTTTCTTAAGTACCCTTCTGCAAAGAGAGATAGTTTGACTTCCTTCCTTTCTGTTTGGATGCCCTTTATTTCTTTCTCTTGACTGATTGCTTGGCTAGGACTTCCAATACTATGTTGCATAGGAATGGTGAGAGAGGGCATCCTTGTCTTGTGCTGGTTTTCATGGGGCATGCTTCCAGCTTTTGCCCATTTAGTATGATATTGGCTGTGGGTTTGTCATAGATGGCGCTTACTGTTTTGAGGTCTGTTCCTTCAATACCTAGTTTTTTGTTTTGTTTTGATTTGTTTTTTGAGACGGAGTCTCGCTTTGTCATCCAGGCTGGAGTGCAGTGGCGTGATCTTGGCTCACTACAACTTCTGCCTCCCAGGTTCAAGCGATTCTCCTGCCTCAGCCTCCAGAGTAGCTGGGATTACAGGCACGTGCCACCACACCCAGCTAATTTTTGTATTTTTAGTAGAGATGGAGTTTCACCATGCTGTCCAGGCTGGTCGCAAACTCCTGACCTCAGGTGATCCACCCGCCTCAGCCTCCCAAAGTGCTGGATTACAGGCGTGAGCCACCTCACCCAGCATCAGTACCTAGTTTATTGAGAGTTTTTAACATGAAGGAGTGTTGAATTTTACTGAAAGCCTTTTCTGTGTCTATTGAGATAATCATGTGGTTTTTGTCTTTAGTTGTGTGTGATAAATCACATTTACCTGAATTGCTTTTGATTATGGATTTTCTTTTTTAATCTGTTAATATAGTAAATTACATTAATAAAGTTTCTCAAGTTAAGCCATTATATATTGCTGAGTTTGGTTAACTAATATTTTGTTCAGGATTTGTCATTGGTGGTCATGAACGTTGACCTATATTTTTCCTTTCTCATATTGTCCTTGTCTGGGTTTAGTGTTAAGTTTATACCAGTCTCATAAAATGGGTTGGGAGGTAATCCAATTTTTTTCTCTTTCCTAGAAGAATCTGTAAAAAGCTGACCTGTTTCTTGAAAAGTTTTAAAAACTTGCCCAAAATGCTGTTTTTATCCACGGTATATGTGTGTGTATGTGTGTGTGAATATTGTTGACTACTGATTCAGTTTCTTCCTACACGGTTATATGTTTCTTTTTTCTACTTGGTTCAGTTTCAGAAAGTTATGTTTTTGTAGGAATTTGATAAATTTCTCTAAGTTTTCAAACAATATAAAAGTTGCTCCAACTATTCTCTTACTATTATTCTAATCTCTGTTGTATCTCTAATTATGTCCCCTTTTATTTATTTTACCTATTTAACAGATATTTGTATAGCACTTACAACATGCTAGGCAATATTCAGAATATTTTCCTAATACGAATTCATTTCATCCTTATAACAACTTTTTAAGATATGTGTTATTATTGTCATCTTTTTACATATGAGGAAATTGAGGCATAGAGAAGTTTAGTTATTTTCCTGAGATCACACAACTAGTATGTCATAGAGCTGCAGTTCAAACCATAGTCTGGCTCTAGAATTCGTACTTTGAACCACTATGTTACCCTGCTTCTTCATTGTTAATATTGACTTTCTTTCCTAATTTTGATTGTTCGTGCTGTTTCTCTTTTCTCTTAGTCTTGCAAAATCTTTCCTATTTAATTAGCTTTTACCAAGAACAAATGTATTTATTGACCCACTGTATTGTATGTTTGCTTCATGTCTTATTTCTTCTGCTCTTATCCTTATGAATCATTTTCTTCTACTCTTTGAATGTATCATATTTTTCTTCTAACTATTTTAGTAAAAAACATAATTCCTTTCTTTTCAGCCTCCTTAAACCTATAAAATTTCCTCTAAATACTAATTAGAGGAATTTAGTATTTACAAGTTTTTTTTTTTATTTGTTTTGTTTTTTGAGACGGAGTCTCGCTGTGTCTCCCAGAATGGAGTGCAGTGGCCAGATCTCAGCTCACTGCAAGCTCCGCCCCCTGGGTTCACGCCATTCTCCTGCCTCAGCCTCCCGAGGAGCTGGGACTATAGGTGCCCGCCACTACGCCCCGCTAGTATTTTGTATTTTTTAGTAGAGATGGAGTTTCACCATGTTAGCCAAGATGGTCTCGATCTCCTGACCTTGTGATCCGCCCGTCTCGGCCTCCCAAAGTGCTGGGATTACAGGCTTGAGCCACTGCGCCCGGCCTTTTTTGTTTCGTTTTTTTTTTTTTGAGACAAGGTCTCACTCTGTTGCCCAGGCTGGAGTGCCCTGTTGTGATCTCGGCTCACTGCAACTTTCGCCTCCCAGGTTCAAGCGATTCTCCTGCCTCAACCTCTGCAGTAGCGGGGACTACTCCGGAGGCAGCTGGGACTACTCTGGTGGCATGCGCCACCACGCCCAGCTAATTTTTGTATTTTTTAGTAGAGACAGGGTTTCACCATGTTGGCCAGGCTGGTCTTGAACTCCTGGCCTCGAGTGATCCTCCTGTCTCGGCCTCCCAAAGTGCTGGGATTATAGACGTGAGCCACTGTGCCTGGCCCATCCTATGAGTTTTGATTTGTAATATTTTTATTACTTGTATTTAAGTATTTCTTTTGTAATTTTCATGCTTCTTTGACCTATAAATTAGGTGTTCTTACATTTCCAAAAAAAATGTTTTTTAAAAATTTATTTTTTAAATGATGTCTAATTTAATTGCACTTTGACCAGAGAATGTGGTCTTTGAGATACCGGTTCTCTGAAAATTTACTGAGGCTTATTTATGGCCTGGTATGTGGTCAAGTTTTTAACATATTAATGATGTTTTACCTATTGATTCATCAGTTAGGAAGAAGTATATGAACATCTCCTGATTTGTTGTGGGTTTGTCAATATTGCCTTATGGGTTTTGTTTTCTTGCTTGCTTACTTGCTTTAGAAATTCTGAAGCTGTTTTCAGGGCTTCCTGCCTTAAGGTCGGTCTGTTTTGCCTAATATTAATATAGCACTACCAATCTACTGTATTAAAGCAGGTTTGTTTGTTTGTTTGTTTTGAATGTATAGGTTTTTTGTTTGTGTATTTGTTTGTTTGTTTTGAGGCAGAGTCTCTCCCCATTGCCCAATCTGGAGTGCAGTGGTGCAATCTCGGCTCACTACAACCTCTGCCTCCTGGGTTCAAGCAGTTCTCCTGCCTCCGCCTCCAGAGTAGCCGGGATTACAGGCACATGCCACCACACCCAGCTAATTTTTGTATTTTTGTAGAGATGGGGTTTCACTATGTTGGCTAGGCTGGTCTCAAGCTCCTGACCTCAAGTAACCTACCTGCCTCAGCCTTCCAAAGTGCTGGGATTACAGGCATGAGGCACCGTGCCTGGCCTACTAAAGTAGTTTTACATTTGCTTCTGATGTGGTGCCAGGAGACTCACTGGTATCCAACCAGATTTTATATAAATTTCATGTAAGTTTGTGTTTTCTGAACTACATGGATAGTGTAAGTTCACACCACATACATATAAGTTACCTTTTAAATTTCTCTGGATCCATCTCTCTAGAGTCTATAGCAGGTAGCAAGCCTCCTTGCCGCTTCCCTGAACTGATATGTAGAGGATTTTTAGACTCCTTTTCTTGAACTGGGCAATGTTTTGAAGGTCTGCATTTAAAGTGATACTATGTGTACTTGAATTTTACAGAAAAACAAAGTTTACCTTTATTTTCCCATTTGGCATTTCTGCAGCAAACTTACTTCTTACCGTGACTGCTGTGCAGCCTTGGCCAGCTATTCCAGATGTTATGCCTTATTTCTGAATCTAATTAACAAATACCAGAAGAAGCAGGTCAGTTCTTCATTCATTTAATTCTTCAATGAGTCTTTACACTAATGTATTTGTGTAAGCCCATGTCGAATGTCTTTATGTTTTGAATGTATAGGTTTCTATAAGAAACTTCCAATAAAGGTGTAATGGGCTGCCCTGGGAGGCAGTAAGTTACCTATAGGAGTTGAAGGAGTAGTTTGAGTCAGAAATGGAATGTTGATGTTCTAGGAAATTTCCTGATTTGGGAAGGAAGGTAGTAGATTGTAACAATATTTTTCCTCCCACTGATCTGTAGACAACCTACATGGGAATCACCTTGGGGTGGGGGTGGGGGTGTAACCCCACCCCAAGGGTTATTTCCGTAATTGTTATTCTTCCAGGTTTCATCCCAGGCTACTGAGTCAGATGGGTAGGGTAGGACCTATCTGGCCATCTGCATTTTAACAACCACAGGGACTTCTGATGCAAATTAAGGTTTGCAGTTCCCCTGCACTGGATAGTCCCTGAAGATTCTTCTAGCCCTTAAGTTCTTTAATTCTTTGACTCCATTGTTTTATTTAAAAGGTAACATTTCTAGGTAAAGTGCTTAAATGAAATAATTTAGTTTTAATGAATCAAGGCAAAAATGTATATAGTTGTTTAAAAAAGAAAGAACTCACAAATGATTTCTCATTAATCAAATCATAATACTTCATACAGACATTAATTTTTTTTTTTTTTTTTTTTTTGAGACAGAGTCTCGCTCTGTCGCCCAGGCTGGAGTGCAGTGGCGCGATCTCGGCTCACTGTAAGCTCCACCTCCCAGGTTCACGCCGTTCTCCTGCCTCAGCCTCCCGAGTAGCTGGGACTACAGTCGCCCGCCACCATGCCTGGCTAATTTTGTTTTTGTATTTGTAGTAGAGAAGAGGTTTCACCGTGTTAGTCAGGATGGTCTCAATCTCCTGACCTCATGTTCCGCCCGCCTCAGCCTCCCAAAGTGTTGGGATTACAGGTGTGAGCCACCACACCCGGCCACAAACATTAATTTTTATTATAAGTTTTTAAGTATTCGTTAAAGCAGAGTCAACTTTTATTCACTTTCATAAATTATTAAAGTGACATCAACTTAGATATTTTGCCCATTTATACAATAAGTATTCATTTTAAATGTGGTACATTTTCAACATCCTATAGTAAGTTTTACCAGTTTATGGACCAAATAATGTGTGTATATACTAACAATATTTTAATCTAAAGCTTTGTGTTTGTTTTATTAGCCATATTAAGACCACCTCAAAACATAATCTCTGTTTGTTACTGACTAGCATTGAACTTATTTTTACCCAGCCAAAGACTTCTGCTGAGAATTGTTAAATTTGTCAGGTTTTACCCCAGCTTTAGCCTCCCAAGTAGGGATTACAGGCATGTGACGCCACAGCTGGCTGATTTTTTTTTTTTTTGAGAGAGACAGGGTTTTGCCATGTGCTGGGATTACAGGTGTGAGCCACTGTGCCCGGCCCAAAAGAATTCTTTTTCATGTTATACTCAAAAGAGATCTATTTATATATTTTATTTTGTAATTTAATGTTATGAATTTTAATTATAATTTTATTTTCCCATCACTACCTTTTTTTTTTTTTTTTTTTTTTTGCTTTGGTGCTTTGATCTTGGGTGATTTAGATGTCTTTAATTAGAGAAGATTTATTTGCCTTGCCTCTAGAATTTTCAAATATGAACAAAAGAAAACTTCCTTTTAACAGTTTGATTTTGAGATATGTTATAATCCATAATTTTTTTAAGGAAGAAAATTCATTAATTGAGTACTCACAAATAGTGCTATTGTTTTCTAGCATTACTAGTAGATACTGTTTGTTTCTCTGATTGGAGCTTAGATGAAGGCCATATGGAATAAACCAACAAAAATCCTGGTATCTCACCAATATGAGAGACTAGAGATATCAGTATGGCTAAGAGTATGCTTTTTCTAGTTTGAGTAACTAAATGTCCTAAAGTTTTTTTGTTTTTTGTTTTTGTTTTTTAAAATAAAGATGGGAGTCTCACTATGTTGCCCAGGCTGGCCTGGAACTCTTGGGCTCAAGCAATCCTACCACTTCAGCCTCCCAAAGTGCTGGGATTGCAGATGTGAGCCACTGCACTCAGCCTAAATGTCTTAAAGTTTAAATTGGCATAAAATTTTACTATACTTTTTAACTAAACTACTTTTCACATTAGACCAATGGTTATCTGAAAAGCAAAACTCATGTTTAAGAAACCACATTTTTCTCTATTGATGTTAATTACCATTTTATATTCCTATTGATGTGGTTTGGATCTTTGTCCTAGCCTAAATCGCATGTTGAATTGTAATCCCCTGTATTGGAGGTGGGGCCTGGTGGGAGGTGATTGGATCATGCAGGCGGAGTTCTCATGGATGGGTTAGCACCATCCCCCGGTGCTGTTCTCGTGATAGTGAGTGAGTGAGTTTTCGTGAGATCTGCTTGTTTAAAAGTGTGTAGCACCTCCCCCTGCTCTCTCTCTTCCTCCTGCTCTGGCCATGTAAGATGTGCCTGCTTCCCTTTCACCTTCCACCGTGATTGAAAGTTTCCTGACGCCTCCCCAGAAGCTGAGCAGATGCCAGCAGCATGCTTCCTGTACAGCCTACGGAATCATGAGCCAATTAAATCTCTTTTCTTGATAAATTATCTAATCTGAAGTATTTTTTTGGAGCAATGCGAGAACAGACTAAAACACCTATTAAAATTATTTTAATTTCCAAAGAGGAATAGAGAGCACCTTGTGAACCATGTACAGTAACATGTTTATTCAGAACCATCAAAGAAATGCATGTTATCACTTTAATCACTAAACTTAATCATTGTGGCAAAAATCGTATTCAAGTATATTACATGTTTCTCTTCCTTCTTAGAAGATATTAAAACTAACTTAACCTCTTGATAGCAAAGGTCATTATTATAAGCATTAATTATTGCTCTAGAGGCTGTTTGTCCCACATGGGAAACCTGAGTCTGTTGATAAGGTTCTTTAAATGTCTGCATCTTCTTTGTAGATTTTCTCTCTCTTCTTTTTCTATTGGTTGCTAACTCTGCCTTTAGTAATCTTTACTTGCTTTTTTGCAATTATTTGTCTGCAATTAGCTGGGGAACCTCATAACCAAGCTTATTAAAATTAGCCTGTAGTCCCAGCTACTCAGGAGGCTGACACAGGAGAATCGCTTGAACCCGGGAGGTGGAGGCTGCAGTGAGCCAAGATCATGCCACTGCACTCCAGCCTGGGTGACAGAGGGAGACTCTATCTCAAAAAAAAAAAAAAAAAAAGTAACACTGAAATGGCATCATTGTTGGGGGTGACACCTGAGGTTTGTTGGTTCATGCCAAGGAAATCAAGGACATGGACACATGTGGAGTGAGGTTAATTGTGGAGGTTTAATAGGCAAAAGAAAGAGAGAGGAGAATAGCCCTCTCTCCTGTGCACAAGAGGCACCTGAGTGGGACTTCTGGCCTGTACACACGGTTTTATAGACAGGCTTGAGGAGGTCATGTCTGATCTACACAGGGCCCAAAGATTGGTTGGACCAGGTGTGATGTTTACATAGCACGCAGAGAAGCTGGCCACCCCCACCCTAGTCTTCTTATTATACAAATGGGATTTTTGCTTGTCCGGCACCATGTTACCTGCTCTTTACTGCACATGTGGCTAGCAAAGAGAAGGGAAGATGGAGCTGCCATAGTGGACATGCCTAGTCCCAGGTACCCTTTTTCCTATTGGCACAGCTGGCAACATTCACCCGTGCAAGCTTCTAGCTTGCCTTTCTATATCTGCAGCTTGATTTTACAGGCTGCTCTTTGTTAGAAAATAAATTATTTGAGGGCTGCTTTTCATTAAAAGGAAAACTTTACTGAGGCCCTCCTTACCCTCACTATTTGCCTAAATAATTTCTTTTTTAACTCCAGTATCAACACATAAGCCAGGCGTGGTGGTGCGAGTCTCTGGTGAAACCAGTTGTCCAGCTTGGGCAACAAGGTGAAATCCTATCTCAGAGAGAGAGAGAGAGAGAGAGAGAGAGAGAAAAGACTGGCAACATAGACCCCATCTCTATAAACAAAAAATTAGCTGTGTGTGGTGGCACATGCCTGTAGTCCCAGCTACTTGGAAGGCTAAGGTGGGAGGATTGCTTGAGCCCAGGCTGCAGTGAGCCATTGATCACTAGCTAGCTGGCTAGCTAGACAGACAGATATTTTAGACTAAAAACCCTAAAATAAAATTGAATATGAACAGACTTAATGAGAAGAGCTTAAGGGGCTCTGATGAAACTTCTCTGTGACTTCTCTTCAAAGCCAATTCCATATTTCAAGTCATAACTCTCTTGTCTGCTCCTCTGTGAGGCCTCCCAAGCAAGACCAGTCAATTTCTCCCTCATCAGTGCAACATTTTTAAGACTTTAACACAGCTAGTACCCCAGCTAGTACACTCAGAGCTGAGAACCCAAGCAGTATGTGTATGGCCTTAACCACTTCACTATTATTAAGGAAAACTATACAAATCTTAGAGATAAGGTGTGGAATAGGTGGAGGCATGTCCTGACAAAGGCATGCCAGGGCATTGTTTAATGGCCCAGTCAGGGATTAATTCTCTAGGCCAACGTATTGGTGTTTGGACTTGCTGTTTACTATTTGGTTAGATCCCAGACACAATAAAGTTATACATTAATTCATAGGTTTCAGTCTGGTAGACAGGATCACCTCAAAAGTTATGGTTTTATTACTTTGTAGGCATTTGTCAGGTCTGTTTATAACTTAGAAATCTTGAGTGCTTGTAAATCCCCAGTTCTTCAATTGTGCTTGGAACAAACTTTACCGTGGTATTGGCCCCCTCATTAATGAGTTAAATACTTTTTAAGTGTGTTAATTTTATGAGCCTATGAGAGTCATGTTTTTAATTTTTAAAAAATTGTACTTGACTCAATACTTTTACTTACAATAATGATTGCAATGTTGTAGTTTTGACTCATTACTTTGATTTTT